AGGGTGGATGCTTCTTGCTTGAGTTAGGGCTGTTGTCTAGTTCTTCAATCATTGGTATTTGAACTTTATCTCATCAGGACGGGCTGGTGCTGGAGGTTGATTCTATCACCCATGCATCCCTCATTCACACATCTCAACTAGACTAATAAAATTACAGTATGGCTTGCAAAAATAGAGGCTGCAGCACAAGCCTTCTACAAAATGGAGTCAGCATTTTAAAATGGGTTTTGAGTTACAATATTGCACAGAAGTTACAATGTTACAATGTAGGTAAAATGGCAAGTGTAATGAAATGGTGAACAGAAGTTACAATGGTACAGTGAATAACTAAAAACAATTTCATTCACATTGGTTCTACATTGGTGGAGTCCACTGGAAACTCTTAGAAAACTCATACACTTTTAACCAGTTCTACCCTGTTATTCTAAGGCTCTGAGGGCACCAACTGCACAGAACAGCCAGGACTCACCTTGATGTAGCGTCCATCATTCATGCAGCCGCACCTGTCCATGGACACGCACTCCTCCCCATCAAACATGTAGCCACTATTGCACTGGCAGCCTTCAAAGCATTTCTGGGTGCACTGAGCAGGGGCAGACAAGCCAGCACAGGTGAAATCGCAGGACTTGGTGCACAGCTCATAATGGCTGTTGAGTGGGCAGGCAAGGGCTGGAGAGAGAGAAGCAAGAGAGAAAGAGGATGGAGTGAAGGTTTAAAAAAAATTTCCACTGGAGACATAGTTACATTGCCACCTAGCTCAGAGCTGGGTGCTGCGGTGGGTTGACTCAGTGGTGGGATCACCTCAGATATGGCTTAACCGTAGCATTTACTGCAGTGCAGTGTCCCAGAGCACCAGACATTGGAGTCAGAGCCAGAGGACAGTGTTTCCCCCATTGGGTCACCGACGTTCTTCCAGTCCTGACCCAAAGACCCATGGAGATCTGACCCAAGGGTGGTCTGGCTGGACAAAACCAATCAAAAACACAGGTGCGTAAATTGCAATCAGGCATGCTGCAGATGACGTGGCTACAGAGGGGCCACAAACACTCCAAGATATAATAAACCTGAGCTCTAAGTTGCCATCAGGAAAAAAAATCCCTTGGGGGCTAATGGGCTTGAAATGAAGCCAATGGAAAGACCAGGGCTGTAGGTTGCTCTATAAACTCACGGCAGAAGGAGGCTGTTCTCCAGGCTCTGATCTTGGCCCCAGTTGTCTGGCATGCGGCCGCATAGGTCTGGAGGCTCTGGCAGAGGGTCTCTCCCGTCCCGTTGGTAGCACACATGTCGTGGAGACAGTGGTTGAAGTACGTGGCAGGGCTGACCAGCGAGTGACAATCTCTGAAGGGACCTGAGGTGGCTCTGATCAGCCCACAGGAGCTCTCGGACTGGTACGGTGCTGTCTGGGCCCCATCACAGATGGGGCATCTCTCACCGCAGCCATCGCAGCACATGGCACCATCAACAGGCACCTTCCAGGAGATGACAAACTCGCTCAAACTTTGGGTGCTCTTTCCATTGGGCAGCAGGGAGTCATCGTTTTTGTCACCATTGAAATTGCCGCACAAGCCGCACATGTGTCCCTTGTAGGTGCTGGGGATGGACACTAGGAGGTAGGAGGCAGTGTCATAAAAGACTTGGAGGCCAGAGGCAGACTGGACAATGATGTTGTTCCCTTCCTGGTTGATCCGAAGTTTCCCGTCGTCCATAGTCAGTGGGAGGGTGTAGAGCTCTCCACCCACCTGTGCCAATGAGAGGGAAATTCACCCGTCACTAGTGGGGACTCAGCAGCGCTTTCCTGGTTACACACACACACACACACATACACACACAGACACACACACGTCAGGATCACAAATGGTGTGAGTCACTCACTTGGCTTCAATGAGACTAATCTCAAGCAGGGACTTACCGCCACCTTCCACTTCCTTCCCCTCTCCAGAGAGATGGTGTAACCATGCACGGAGACCACCACCGCCCTTGTCCGAGCCACACGGCCACCACCAGCACTCTCGTTCTCAACCACCATGGAGAAGTCCACCAGCCGGGGGTCACTGCTGCAGACCTTGGCTAAGGTGTAAGCGCAGGAGCCCTGGATGTCGAAGGCCCATCCATCAAATGAGAAGCAGTGAGGGTCACCGGAGACTATGCAGGTTCCATACTCCATGGGGTGGCAGCCCAGGACTCCGTTCTCCACCCTGCACTCCTCATTGGCTCCACAGGAGGCTGCCTGGCACTCGACGACCCCGTTGCCTTGGCACCGGCACCGCTCCTGGCAGGAGGCACTGGTGTAGAACTCTTCTCCCTTCTGGTAGTACCTGCACTGGTGCACACAGGCGCACTGCACGATGGGGACGCACCGGTCTCCGCTGAGGATGAATCCGGTGTCGCAGAAACACCCTTCCACACAGGGCTCCTCGCATGTGTCTGGAGCCGAGGGCCTGTGGCAGGTGGCAGGACAGCTGCTCCCACAGAACTCGTAGTGAGAGTTCCGGGGACAGGTGAGACCTGCAGGAAACATTGGATTGAGCATGCAGATCTCTGTTAACACGAAGAAGTCTGGGAAAAGACGTGGTGCCTACTGCTCTGGGAGGGCAGTGGGGTCTGGTGGGTTAGAGCAGCGGGGCTGGGAGCCAGGACTCCTGAGTTCTCTCCCCAGCTCTGGAAGGGAAGTGGGGTTGGTGGGTTAGAGCAGGGGGGCTGGGAGCCAGGACACCTAAGGTCTCTCCCCAGCTCTGGAAGGGAAGTGGGGTCTGGTGGGTTGGAGCAGGGGGGCTGGAAGCCAGGACACCTAAGGTCTCTCCCCAGCTTTGGGAGTGGAGCAGAGTCTAATGGTTAGAGCAGGGTGCAGTCAACAACAACAGCGACAATAATATCAGTTTCTAGCCAAAACTTGTTAAATGGCGCTAAGGCTGAGAATACATATCAGTAATTTAAGGTAAAATGCATTACAGGGGTGTTGCAATTATCCTACCACCAGGCATTGTAAACCCAGGAAATTGAGAGTTAAAGTTAAACTGAAAAGCAACCCAAAGGTGCGGAGGCATGGAAACGAACAATTAGGGCAACCAAAGTGCTTTAACTCTCCCTCTTCATGACACCATGAAATCACCATATGCCTAGCCAGTTATTGTCATGTGGCTGTGGTCCTCTACTAGATTTATCTGATTTTTGAAGTCACAGTCAATGTTTTCTCTAACGCTGGGCAGAAAACAATTTTATCCCTCCCACAAGAGTTTGAGATTCTGAATTTTGGCCCTTTTTGAAATGGTGCAAAAAGCTGAAATCTTTAGCATTGTCACAGTGCAATAATCTGAAACCAGTTCTTATCCGGTCACTCGAAAGATGCTGCTTTGACCATTTCAAAATGTTTCATTTAGATTTTGACCTTTTTAAAAAAATAAACATTTTTAGGTTTTTTAGTATAAGATTTCAGAACAAAAAGTCATTTTGACTCAAGAAAATAAAAGTTTTGATTTCCAAAATGTTAAAACAAGATGTTTTGACAATTTCAACACTCTGCTTCTTTTCTTTTTCTCAAATAGTTTTGGTTTTGACAAACTGACATTTTCCAACAAACAAACATTTTTTGGGGGAAATTCCTGACTAGTTTTATTTTTTTCCCTTCTCTTGATGTCGTGGGGTGAAGGACTGTCAGGCATGAGATTTTGGGGTTTTTTGGACTTGTGTTAGCTCAAAACTGCTGGAGGTTTTGATTTATCCAGGAGGTCAAACTGCCATATTAGCAAGAGAGATCAAAGCATTGGACACATCTAAGAATTAAGAGACTTCCTTAGAATAGGTTAAAACTGTTAATTCAAAACTTGATTTGGATGAAACAGTGTTGTTGTTGTTTTTCTTGAAACCAAAAGCTTTCAGAAAAAGCTTTCAGTTTTTTAAAATTCTCCAATTTTTCATTAAAATTGAAAATGTTGACAATTCAAATAGTCAGATCTTTGATTTTCCTGTTTTGCCAGTGAATACAGTACAAGGAATAATGTCTAACTTGGTGTCTTTCCCACCCCCACCCTCCCGCCATTTTTCTCATTTTTCCTTATTCCACTTTTCAAAACTTCCTCCACTTTGAAAAAAGAGTAAAAATGAAACTCTGTGACTCGTGAGCAGTTTTGAAATTTTCAGAGTAATAAAAGGGGGAAAAAAGAAAACAAGAAAAGTGGAGAAAAACAACCTGGATATAATTCATTTTATTGCACTGTGACTAAAAACAGAGAACAAAAGGATAGAAGGAAAAATGAAATTTTGAAATGTCTAAAATTAGAAATTTTGAAATGTCCAAAATTCTAATAAAAATCACAAAGAAAATTGGAAAAAAGGAAAATTGTTACATTATGAGCCCTGCAAAATGCAAACAAACTTGAATATTTAGGGTTTTTTTATTAAATGTCCCCACTCCCCCTGTTTTTTGAAAGGCTTTGCCTATGACACATGGGGGAGCAGTTCTGATTCTATCCAGCAGAGGGTGCTGGGGCATGTGCTCGCTGGCCAGTTTGTGATTATATTAAACTTATAGCAACATGTTCAGGAAGTGACACTTACTGCAGAATGAGGCCGATCTCCACTGCCCTATCCGGATGTCCCTGGCCTGGCAGGCTGTCACATAGGCACTGATTGCGCTGCACAAAGTATCACGATGACCCTTGTAGTGGCAGGTGTCAAAGACACAATCATCAAAGAACGGAGCTGGGTCGATGGCCCTGTGGCACTGTCTGAATGGCCCGTTCTGTCGGATGAGGACCCCACAGTACTGGTCTCCCTTGTAGGTTTGTTTCTGAGCCTCACTACAGACTGAGCAGTCCCCGGTGCAGCTAGACGAGCAACCCGGGACGTCACCAACCTTCCAGCTGTCAGCGAACTGAATCTCATCAGATGTCTGAGTTCCATCCTTCATGGTCAG